CTTTACATCCCTGTAACCAGTCGGTATTATATGACAACCAGCTCACCACAAGAGAACACCTTTACCAATTCTCACTCTCCTGTTTTGATAGTTTGTTCGGAAGTTCTAAGGCCACAGGCCTATCCACATACACAGTCATGATATTTGGCCAAAGTACATTGACTGTAAACCTTACAGGATATCTGTAACTCGTTTCCGTTGTGGCTATCATAAGCTCAGAATGGAGACAGGAAGCCATGTAGGTGAAGACCCAGAAGAACGTTTATGTAAATAATGTGTAAATTTTGGATTGGACTATGTCGAAAAAATTACTACCATGTCAGTTAGTATGCCAACAATATTCAGACACAAAGGCAAACTGTTCATTGTCATGTCACATAAGGCCACAAGGCTGCGCTGAACTCAGTATCTCGTAAGTGTAAGTTATCTGTCCTACGGATTTCTGCGCAATTCTGCTTGTAACGCGTTTTGCAAGTTGTGGGAGTCTCTGCAGCGTGTTCTGACGTTGACGTACATGTCGATCGAGTTCATCCCAGAGGTGTTCGATTGGGTTGAGATCTGGAGATTTCGTCGGGCAGGGCAAGTCGTTGATGTTTGCATTATGAAGGTAGTCTACCGTGACACGAGCTGTGTGCGGTGGAGCGTTGTCCTGTTGAAACAGCCCCCTCTGGCGGTCAATGTTGAGAAGAAGGTGAGGTTGAAGAATTTGACTCATGTAGCGATTTGCTGTCAGATGACCCTGAACCACAACCAAGTCAGATCTCGTGATGCAGGATATGCCACACACACACACACACACACACACACACACACCATGACACTCAAAACTCTGAGTTAAGCGCTTTATGTGACATGACAATGAACAGTTTTCAATGCCTTTGTACAACGACAACATGTGACTATCGAGCTCCAAAATTTCATATTTGTATCTATGGTTAAATTAAATATATCGACTTTATTAGGTACAATAAATTAACTAAACATCTACCTGTGCAGTTCCTTATTTTGAAGAGTGTATGTTCTCGTGTGGTTTTTTTCAACTAAACAACTGACTTGCCTTTGAATGTATTTGTGACCGTGCCGGTGGGGGCAGGATACGCTCAACCTTTCGCGAACACATGGTATCAGTACTATTTGATAGTGATTCATAAACACTAACACACGTTTATGGAAATAAATGTTATTTTGTATATAACAACGTTTTATTGTATATAGGTTTGGGGCTTACGTCATGCCCTTCCACAACCTTCTGGTTGTTAAACTTGTCAATCACATAAGTGACACAATCTCACACCAACCACACCCTCAGTGAGAGTATCGTACAATGCATAAACATCTCGAAGGACGCTACACAGGGGGTAGTGAGTTGGGTTTTAATTAAGAAATAAATGACTCGTGGTCGTTCTTTATCGTACAATGAAACACTGCAGGGATAATAAACCCTCGCGTCCCTTCACGTTTATTATTCGAATCGTTTATGTCTTCTATATGAGATAGGGGCAGTCGGGAAGTCTAGTGGTTAAAGCGTTCGCTCGTCACGCCAAAGACACGGGTTCGACTCCCGACATGGGTACAATGTGTGAAGCCCATTTCTGGTGTCCCCCGCCGTGATGTTGCTGGAATATTGCTAAAAACGGCGTAAAACCATACTCACTCACTCTATATGAGATATCAACATAGCCTCTTTAAGGATGATGAGAAAATGTACAAAATTTTAAAATATTTACCCGTATTTAAATAATGAACACTGCCTCAATGGAATCCGAATTCGGCTGTGCCATGTTCAGCGACAGCTGATCACCATTGGCTGCCGTTAGACCAGCAAGCCCAGCCTAGTGAAATGTACACAAAGATACAACATTGTATTGCAAAATTGTCAACAAAGTTATGGAAGTCATGGGCGGATACAGAGGAGGGGTGCGGGGGTGCACCTTTATTTCTTCATAAATTACCACCAAAGATAATAAATAGATCTTAATTGTGCACACACACACACACACACACACACACACACACACACACACACACACACACACACACACACACACACCCCACCCCAACCCCCACCCACCCACCCTTTTCAAAAATGCTGTATCCGCCCATGGAACTTACGTGACAAGTTGAACATTGAGAAAAAGACTCTAGGAATTGAGAAATCAAGTCTTTATTCTTGTCACGTAAGTCCAGGTTTCAAATGATAAAAATAACATTCGGAAAATCGCTAATTTTCTATTGTCTCAAAGTCAGCAGTAAAAGCTGAAACAGTTGTCAAGGTTCTACGCATTACACACCCATTAAAAGACTTTAAAATCACTTTTAATATAACGTTAATTTTCAAGTCCTTCTCCGCAGGAAACAAACAATTTCACAATGTCAACTTATTTGTGACGTCATGGATACTCTACGTCACCGGGGGCACCTATGATTGTGGGTTCGAATCCCAGTTCGCCCCGATTATGTTTCTAGGTTTGTCAGCACCATACCCGTGCTCGTGGGTTTGACCGAAGTGGTAAACTTCTGAGACCTGCATCACTTCGGGCTTTCCTCCCACATTAAGCTGACACGCCGTGATATAACTGGAATAATGTTTAAAGCGGCGTTAAACCCAACTCACTCCCTCACACTCTACGTCACCAATGTGAATATGATATGTAACTATCCCGCTCTTTCTATCACCACTCGCTATCAGTGCTACAAGTCAGTTACCACACCCTCGACTCGCCATTGGTCTAGTAACAGCACGGTTTGTCTCGGCCTTTGATTGACATGCGAAAGTGTCACCACTAGGCTCCGCCTCTCGGACCCTCCGCACGTCAATCAAAGGCCGAGCCAAACCTTGCAGTAACCAGACCAATGTCTCGTCTACGTGTATGGTAACTTTAACTCACCGATTATCATATCTCTCCCGCTTTTGGATGCGATCGTTCGGCCATCGCGTTTACCTGCGTTGCCCAGCTACATCTATGGGGAACAACTTACTAGATTATCCCCTCTTAAAAATAAAGTCGTCTAATAAACCACGTCATCAAGTTGCGAGCGCATATTCGAATCATCAAAAATGACGTCATGATAGAACAATGTTTTATCGTGAAAAATAAGATAGCTACACGATCAGTCGCAAATAACAATGGAGAACGAAACGTACTTTATGTGTAGGATAAAGTACGTCCGAGGGTTTTTATGATATTTAAAACCCGCATCCGCGGGATAAAACCGAGGGGACATCAGTCCCTCTGTTTTATCCCAATGATAAATAGCATACAACCTCAAGGGGAAGTGTTTTCTTCTGAACAGAAAAAAGAAACTTAAAACATCATTATTGACATGTTTATGTTTCAAACAGTCGTTCCATGAACCCTAGGAAACGGACGTAAAATATCTGTTTCTGGCGTACGGTTCTTGAAAAAGACATTCTAAAAAGCATTGAGATTTATCAGCGCCTTAGTCCTGCACCATGACCGTGGAATGTATTCATTTTACGGAAAACAAACAAACTAGAAATGCATACAAAAGCAAGTCTAGCTCAAGCTAGCTCTATTCCACAAATCAGCATAGGGATTTTAAAAAAAATAAATTTAGAGTCAATAATGATATTGGGTAATATAAGATTTCAGAGACTAAATGTAAGTCTATCAGCGCCCTATATACAAAGGTTGCCATCATTGGGAATATAAAGAAAACATTTTTCATTTGACTTTACATTTCATTACATGTTGCAATCTGAACGGAAGTTGTATTAATAAAATCCCCTAGGTATTATAAGACATTTCATAGCAAATATGACTGGAATATCCTATAAAATCCCGGGGACATTACAATGTCTCTGTTTATAACCCAACTGAACAACAATAGAATCAAGTCACTGGAGGTTTATAATTCACGATAAAACATTGTTCTATCATGACGTCATATGTTGAAATTCGAACATGCGTTCGCAACTTGATGACGTCGTAAATTGGACGACGATAATTTTGAGAGGGAAGTTAGGCTCATCACTAGCACAGGGCCCAGACAGCGAATGGGACTTCTCCCAGGAAGCGCTGCCTAGTCAAACCCATCCAGGATTGTTCGGAGAATGTGAAGACTCCCCAACACTGCAGCCTTCTGCAATACCCAGATTGTCAGAAGGGCTTGATTCCTGGTAGCAAACCCGGGCACTCTCCCATTATCAGTCAACAGATTGGGACGTACCAAACCTAATGCACCGAGAACAATGGGGAGTCAGACAACTTGGTACTTTGGATGCAAGCGTGACATTTCGAAAGCGAGGTCCGCATATCTGCCATGTTTTTCCTCAATCTTGTCAATCACATTAGTGTCAAAAAGGACACACAAAAATCAATAATATAAATGATTTCATTGGATTTATCAGAAAGGACAAGATCAGGGTTTGTTGGCCTGCAAACGGCCGAGGCTGTATACGGGCCTATTCCAAAGAGTGTATTGTATTTATCATTTTCCATGACGCCCTCTACATATTCTGGGTGGTACCATGGATGGACCTCTGTGTCAAAACCACAAACATGGCGGAAACGGTATTATTATTATTATTATTATTATTATCATTATTATTGAACTCCCGACTATGTAAATATAATGTCTTTAAAGCCAAACCGGGTGTAAATTATGCGGACAAGAAAGTCATGTAAAATAAGTAAAACCCCTTTTAGGCGCCCTCGACACACCGACTAGGTTAAATGATACGTCAATGGACAGGGAAGCTGAAGAGTCTCACGCAACAAGAGATATAGGATGTTGTTTCAGTTTAGGTTGTATTTGCGGTCCAGTGGATGATGAGATTGTCAAATGGCTCACACCATGGGAAAATATATGGTGATGTTGGTGTTCTACCAGACATACTAGCCTACATTCAGGGTCAAGTGTGATCGCATTGTAATCTAATCATTTTGACAGCACAGACTACTGTCAGCTGCCTGTACCGTATCAGTGCCGTGGCCAGTAGACCTTGGTATCTGATATGCATATCAAACGTGACCATGTGGTTGTGACAGTCGACCGACGCTCTCTCAACAGGATGGCTGCTAGGTCTAACGGGACGAGAATCCTCGCACAAGAGCTGGACTCGAAACCAGAGCAGAAAGTGCAGTTAAAAAAACAGATCACACTTTTTCACTGCGTCTCTATCATTGTGGGTATTATTATCGGAGCAGGGATTTTTGTGTCGCCCGTGGGTATTCTCTACAATGTGCACTCTGTCGGCATGTCTTGTGTATTGTGGGCGCTGTGTGGAGTTTACTCAACGCTATGTGCCCTGTGTTTTGCAGAACTTGGTGCTTCGATTCCTGAATCGGGAGGCGAATATGTGTACATAAAACGTGCATTTGGGGATTGTCCGGCGTTCCTGTGTCTCTGGGTGAATCTTATCATTCTGTGTCCCGTGGGCGTGGCCGCAGCTAGTTTGATTTTTGCCACCTACACTCTTCGTCCCGTCTTCCCCGACTGCGATCCCCCGTCTTCATCTATTAGGCTCCTCGCAGCGATAATCATCAGTAAGTACCAATGCGTATATCTTCATGTAGCACTTACTGCATTAAGGATTCCGAAACCAGAGAAACAGTTTACCTGTGTTTAATACATCTGTGACTAATATTCGAAATAGTTATCAAAAAGAATAGCTGCCGCGGTATGACATTAACCGGTAAATCGTATTTCTTGAGGGTTCTGTCATACAAAGATATGAAGCTCACCTGTTTGTGGCATATTATTTGCTTTAGGAACAATTCGGAAAAAAACCGCAAAAGAAAGTATACACCCATGTTTGATGGTGGCTAAAAAGGAAACAAACAAGAAATGGTTATTCGGTGGTGATGTACAGTAAACTACGGTTATAACGAACTCCTTATAACGAAGGTACCACTAATTTTAGTTCGTTATAACCGTAGTTCGTTATAAGCATTTTTATATTTCCTGTGTTTATTAATCTCATTAATGACATAAAATATATAACAAGTACACACATGTCAAAATATATTACTGACACAGTTTCACTTACATACAGACACAAGAGTCACTTGCAAAATTTCACATGTATTCCACACAGGAATCATTATTGAGTTTTGGACTTTCCTTAGTTGGATATCTTTGTTTATCAGCAGGATAAGGCAAACGGATATCCGTTTGGGTCACATACACAGAGAGATGCAAATATCAAAGGTCAAGTAGGGACTTCTTTCAGTGTTTACAAACAAACATGGCATCGCCCTTGTCATTCTGCGATCGAGTCACAATTAACCATCGGGAGTCTGGAGAAACTACTGGGATAATTGCTATCATAACAGAAGAATAGTCTAATATACCGAAAATCAGTGTCTAACTATGACGTAGGTAAGGCATTTTACAAGTTGGGAGATAAAAATTGCGAAAACATTTAGAGAGGACACTAGTCTAGCGGCATCAGTTTCCATTCTGTGGCTTTAAACCTTTCCCGAAGCTAAAACAGTTGGATTTGTCCAAATTGTTACCTTGTTTCGTTTTGTCGCTGTGTGGACATCTGATCGCCCTTCGTAATGTTATGACAGGACAGGCAGACAATAAACAAACGTGACGTCTCATAGACTAGGGTTAGAGTAGCTTCCCTTTGATAAAGGGCAGTTACTCTAGCGGACAGACCGATGGATTGCCGCGAATTGGAAGTAGAAACAATTGTTGTTTTGCCTATTTATGGTTATAAGAAATAAGAAACAGGTTCAGTTGGAGTTATATGGACTGTTGTCACTGTCCGATTGATACATCGCTTATATTCTGACGAAATATATATTGTATATATATATTAATGCGCACATTAAAGTAAAATTTACAATGTTTAGTTAATGTTTGTGAGAGATGGGAAGAGATTTTTCAAGCACAGATTTGAAGAATGGCATTATATGATAAAGAGGTTATCACGCTTGTGGGTTTGGCGGTGGTACATATCCTTATAAGGAGCAACCACTATGAATTCATGTTTATTCCTCATACCCGATATTTACCATCCCCCAAAACACTCGCGTGGTTACCTCTAGATCTATATGTACAGGAACGTTTTGTTTTGTTTATTTGTTGTTGCTTAACGCCGTATTCAGCAATATTCCAGCTGTATGGTGGCGGAGAAAGTTTTGTAAATAATGTATCAACAATTGGATGATGTCAAAAGAGTGCTTATGTATACAATGTGTTCCAATATAGAGGAACGTTTTGTATATTACTATATACTGGAACACATTGTATACACTCTTTTCACATCAACCCATTGTTGATACATGATAACTCACCTCGATGAGACCCGGGTTAATATTCAATTACTTTTCCACAGAGACATTTTAAAAATTCGTTTCGTTGACAGCCTCGGCCTGTCATCGGCCGACAGCGTGGGACATTGCTTATAATATCAATCACTGGTTTGTAGAGCCTCCATTCGATTATACACTGGCTGCCGTGACACAGCTGAAATATTGCTGAGTGCGGCGTAATACATCATTCACTCTTTTAATCAGTCGTGTAACTGCCAGGCACATACAGCCCATTATTGACGGGGACACCGGAAACCTGATCGCCTGATGAGCCGGAATTCTTTGTGCCGAGTTGCGTGTCAGAATCCGCTGGTCGCTTTTATTATGATTCGAGCTCTGTCAACATATATATTTATCCGTGTTTGTTTGCTTAAGTTAACTCAATTCCCTGCGTCGCGTAATGCTTACTTCCCACTTGATGATGTGATATGACTAAAGTACTCTTCTGACGAAAGGTCACATGCCGCAATAGAAGAATGTGTATTGTTATTTCCTCGTTATCTTTATAATCATTCGAATAAAGTCTGACCAGCGGTGGCTGGTGCGCACCACAATTATATACTATGAATAACTCAGATAGACATTCACACACACATCCACAAACAAACACACACACACACATCCACAAACACACACACACAGCTGGCCGCAGCTAGTTTGATTTTTGCCACCTACACTCTTCGTCCCGTCTTCCCCGACTGCGATCCCCCGTCTTCATCTATTAGGCTCCTCGCTGCGATAATCATCAGTAAGTACCAATGCGTATATCTTCATGTAGCACTTACTGCATTAAGGATTCCGAAACCAGAGAAACAGTTTACCTGTGTTTAATACATCTGTGACTAATATTCGAAATAGTTATCAAAAAGAATAGCTGCCGCGGTATGACATTAACCGGTAAATCGTATTTCTTGAGGGTTCTGTCATACAAAGATATGAAGCTCACCTGTTTGTGGCATATTATTTGCTTTAGGAACAATTCGGAAAAAAACCGCAAAAGAAAGTATACACCCATGTTTGATGGTGGCTAAAAAGGAAACAAACAAGAAATGGTTATTCGGTGGTGATGTACAGTAAACTACGGTTATAACGAACTCCTTATAACGATGGTACCACTAATTTTAGTTCGTTATAACCGTAGTTCGTTATAAGCATTTTTATATTTCCTGTGTTTATTAATCTCATTAATGACATAAAATATATAACAAGTACACACATGTCAAAATATATTACTGACACAGTTTCACTTACATACAGACACAAGAGTCACTTGCAAAATTTCACATGTATTCCACACAGGAATCATTATTGAGTTTTGGACTTTCCTTAGTTGGATATCTTTGTTTATCAGCAGGATAAGGCAAACGGATATCCGTTTGGGTCACATACACAGAGAGATGCAAATATCAAAGGTCAAGTAGGGACTTCTTTCAGTGTTTACAAACAAACATGGCATCGCCCTTGTCATTCTGCGATCGAGTCACAATTAACCATCGGGAGTCTGGAGAAACTACTGGGATAATTGCTATCATAACAGAAGAATAGTCTAATATACCGAAAATCAGTGTCTAACTATGACGTAGGTAAGGCATTTTACAAGTTGGGAGATAAAAATTGCGAAAACATTTAGAGAGGACACTAGTCTAGCGGCATCAGTTTCCATTCTGTGGCTTTAAACCTTTCCCGAAGCTAAAACAGTTGGATTTGTCCAAATTGTTACCTTGTTTCGTTTTGTCGCTGTGTGGACATCTGATCGCCCTTCGTAATGTTATGACAGGACAGGCAGACAATAAACAAACGTGACGTCTCATAGACTAGGGTTAGAGTAGCTTCCATTTGATAAAGGGCAGTTACTCTAGCGGACAGACCGATGGATTGCCGCGAATTGGAAGTAGAAACAATTGTTGTTTTGCCTATTTATGGTTATAAGAAATAAGAAACAGGTTCAGTTGGAGTTATATGGACTGTTGTCACTGTCCGATTGATACATCGCTTATATTCTGACGAAATATATATTGTATATATATATTAATGCGCACATTAAAGTAAAATTTACAATGTTTAGTTAATGTTTGTGAGAGATGGGAAGAGATTTTTCAAGCACAGATTTGAAGAATGGCATTATATGATAAAGAGGTTATCACGCTTGTGGGTTTGGCGGTGGTACATATCCTTATAAGGAGCAACCACTATGAATTCATGTTTATTCCTCATACCCGATATTTACCATCCCCCAAAACACTCGCGTGGTTACCTCTAGATCTATATGTACAGGAACGTTTTGTTTTGTTTATTTGTTGTTGCTTAACGCCGTATTCAGCAATATTCCAGCTGTATGGTGGCGGAGAAAGTTTTGTAAATAATGTATCAACAATTGGATGATGTCAAAAGAGTGCTTATGTATACAATGTGTTCCAATATAGAGGAACGTTTTGTATATTACTATATACTGGAACACATTGTATACACTCTTTTCACATCAACCCATTGTTGATACATGATAACTCACCTCGATGAGACCCGGGTTAATATTCAATTACTTTTCCACAGAGACATTTTAAAAATTCGTTTCGTTGACAGCCTCGGCCTGTCATCGGCCGACAGCGTGGGACATTGCTTATAATATCAATCACTGGTTTGTAGAGCCTCCATTCGATTATACACTGGCTGCCGTGACACAGCTGAAATATTGCTGAGTGCGGCGTAATACATCTTTCACTCTTTTAATCAGTCGTGTAACTGCCAGGCACATACAGCCCATTACTGACGGGGACACCGGAAACCTGATCGCCTGATGAGCCGGAATTCTTTGTGCCGAGTTGCGTGTCAGAATCCGCTGGTCGCTTTTATTATGATTCGAGCTCTGTCAACATATATATTTATCCGTGTTTGTTTGCTTAAGTTAACTCAATTCCCTGCGTCGCGTAATGCTTACTTCCCACTTGATGATGTGATATGAGTAAAGTACTCTTCTGACGAAAGGTCACATGCCGCAATAGAAGAATGTGTATTGTTATTTCCTCGTTATCTTTATAATCATTCGAATAAAGTCTGACCAGCGGTGGCTGGTGCGCACCACAATTATATACTATGAATAACTCAGATAGACATGGCAGTCTCGAAAGTAACATGGGCAGTTGCTCAGTCAAGGAATAGCGACCCTATCGTTCAAAGTCTCAATATAGCATCGATATAACCTGCGATTCGAGTGTTGGTTTCTG